CCAAGCTAAGCTAAAATGCTGTAGCTTTGGGAGCCCAAACCATGAGAGACCTGTGTCCCTGGTATAGGCGCAAAGGAAACATGGAGCCCAGGGCTAACTAGTAGCGGGTTCACTGCACCAGCGCTGACTCAGCGGATTCGCATCCGAAGGCCGAGCCCATGTCGGAGGTCAGGGGCTGCTGATGCGCAGTGTCAGTCTCTGCAGGCTTCCACTGGGTCTGCATTGGCAGCTGTGCATGGTCAGATGTGACTGACTACACAGCAAGGTGAGTTGCATATAAGGAGTGAGTCAAGGGTCAGCAGTCACAGGGCCCCCCCCAGGTCCATTCTGCCTCGTGGCGGTACATGGTCTAACATGAAGCAAGAATCCTATCGGGGACTGAGTTGAATACCAGAAGCTGATCAAAAGGTTGTGACTAAACCCCCCAGGCTGCTGGTCTTAGGTTGCCATGCTTCACCCCAAGTGGACTAGCTTGTTTGTAGGCAGAAGTCACAACCCCACATGAGGGCCGTTAGCAGGCCCCTCTGCTCCTCGGATTCTCTTTAGCAGCCAAGCAGTGGGGGCAGAGAACAGCCTTCTTTGGAATATGGAAGTATCTACGTTTTTTTTTTTTAAGATGTATTTATTTATTATTTATACTGGCATTGGGTACAGTCAGAAGTGCGGGAGGGTGAGAGAATTCACCAGAGCCAGAGCGGGGAGCAGAGCAGGCAGAAGGACCGAAGGACACTGCTGAGGGGAGCAGCGGGCGGCAGGAGAGGTCTGCGCGCCATGTGGGACCCTCCTCCGGTGGCCGGGGAGCAGCCGGGGATCGAACCGGCGCTGCAGAGGCTGCGGGCAGCTTCGCAACCCAGCGCTCAACCGCTGCGCCACCGGGGAGGCCCAGTATCTAGGTTTTTTAATAATTCCGGGGGAAATTCCAAAACAGACTTAATTCACTCAATCCTAAGTAGAAATGATCAGCATTCAATAGAGATGAACTAGATGTAATTTTAAGAAGGCACAATCCAATTGCGGTTTGTTTTTTTCTTTTGGGATTGTGATTTTAACCAAGACACTTAAGACTTAGTGATTGCAAGATATTCTGCCTGAGCATCTGTGCTTTAATACAAGAGAGGGAGTTGGGGGCGTTGTTATCACCTCAGAGTGGCGAGGTGGGAACGGTTCCACATGGGATGCAGGCGGGCACCAAGTTGTGCTTGCGTGGTCCTTAGAAGAAAGTTTGATGTCCTGCGCCTGGAAGGCTGAACCAGCCCTGAGAGATTCTCGGCGCTGAGCTGGGTCACGAGCCAACGTCCCAATGGGATTCACAAAAAGGTGGGATGGTGCCAAAGGCTCTAGCTCTTCCCTCTACTTGCAGGGAAGCGGCCAGCAGGTGTTCTTTGCTTCTGCCACCAAAATGACAAAAGGAAGTGTCAGTCAATTTAAATGTAAAATTAGCAGCTCAGGACAGTCTTCAACAACTTTGGGGTTTCCGTTCCGGTAAAGGCTTTATTAAAAGGAGAAATTGCCTCTGTTCCCAGAAGGCCCATTTCTTGTGGTTTGTGACCAATTTTCGTGAGAGGGGAGATATGTATTGTTCAGGAAACCCAGTAGCAAAACACCAGCTTTATGGTTCAGCTGAGCATGGTTTCTAGCATAAAAATCAGGTCACCCACTGAGACAGTAGGGCCGATGCCATCGCGATTTCTAAATGCAGGTTGGGTACTAGTGACTTGGAAACCAGGTAAAAGTAAGCACTTTAGATCTAAGTAAAGTTTGTCCAGTCTCTGAGCAGAACCCAGAAGAACCTGTCAGGGTAAAAACGTGCATCCTTTCTGAAGCTGGTGGGACAGACTTCTCCTGTCTCCTGAAGTGTGGGAGGGACACTTCGCTCTGGCAGTGCTGGGAGGGATTATTCACAGACACCGCCACCAAGGAGGCACTCTGGGGGAGTTACGTGAAACCAGGAACTGAGTGTCCTTGATGGCGAGGCACTTCTGGAAAGTTCCAAAATGGAACTTCTCATTCCTGTGAAGAAAATATCTACGAATGGGCTAGTGAAATAACTGATTACCCTCAGGATCATCCAGAATGCTTTTGTTTATGTTTTTTTTTTTTTTTAAGATTTATTTATTTATCTATACAAGCACTGGGTACAGTCAGAAGCGCGGGAGGGTGAGAGGATTCACCAGAGCCAGAGCGGGGAGCAGAGCAGGCAGAGGGACCGAAGGACGCTGCTGAGGGGAGCAGCGGGTGGCAGGAGAGGTCTGCGCGCCATGTGGGGCCCTCCTCCGGAGGCCCCAGAATGCTTTTGAGCTAGAACTTAGATTAGTACGAATTATGTTTAAAAGTTGCAGGTGGGAGCCTCCCCTGGTGGCGCAGCAGCGGTTGAGCGCTGGGTTGTGAGGCTGCCTGCAGCCTCTGCAGCACCAGCTTGATCCCTGGCCACTGGGCGAGGGTCACACACGCACACGCACACGCACACACACACAAGTTGCAGCTGGGGAACATAACACATATTATTTGCAAATTATCTTGGATAAGATGCAGCTTCTGTTTTTAACAGTGATGCAGCATAGTGTAGATGAAAAAGAGTATAAAAAGTGAATCGGCTTCTAAGGGTTTGCTTTTGTTTGGGGTGTACTTTTTCCTCATTAAATCTTAAATCCAAAGTGGCCATTTTCGTTAGTGTGTGTTTTAAATGCTCATTACAATGTGGCTGTCATTTCTTTAAGTGCTCATTGGTAGAAGTTGGTAGGAAAATTCTAAGAACCAAGAAGGGAGTCCAGCTTTCCAAGTATTGTAAATACTTTAGACATTCCTTATCAGTATGAGGAACTTCCATGGAAGAAGAGTTTGCATAGTAAAGCAAACTTTTGAAATTTTGTAAAGGAAACACAGATGTACATGCTTATGTCCATGGATGGGTGTTAAGTTATTTGATGTAGGTTTGGGTTTTGGAGATTTGCTTGTAAAATCAGTAATGGAAAACACAAGAACCTTTCCTCATCTTCAAGATAATAAAAGGTAGCCTCTGAAGCCTTGTGTGTAATATATGCCAGTGAGAAGTAATTACTGACTTTGGTTCAGTAAGTCATGCATACAATAGAATATTATGCAGCGATTAAAATGATGTGTTGAAAGTATATTTAGTGACAATAAGCGAAATTCACAACCGAATAAACCGGGCAAGTAAATACTCTGAATGGTACGGTCCAGTTTTGGTTAAAAAAAATTATAGACGCATATGCACAGGGATAGACGTGATACATAAGTACAGTCATTGGGGGCCGACTTCCTTTTTCCTTATGTGTCTATACATTTTTAAGTTTATTACCTGACTTTATTACACTGTTTGCATGGCTTCTACAGCGGAACGCCGCTATTGAAAAGGAAAAAGAAAAAGGGAAAAAGAGGGGCGCTCGCGGCGCAGCGCGGGGCGTGGTGGCAGAGGGGGGTGAAGGGGTCCCGAGGGACAGCCCCGCGCCGCGAAGAAGCGGACCCCGGGCCCCGCCCGCGGACGAGCCCGCCTGCCCGCCCGGGAGCCGCCGGGAGGGGCCTCCCGCGCTTTCACCGCCAGACGCGGGCGGGCGGGCGCGCGGGCGGGCTGAGGGGGCGCCGAGGAGAGGCGCGGGCCGCGCGCTAAGCTCCCGCGACTCCGCCGCGCGCCCGCAGCCCCCGCGGCCCGCGACCACCCGGCTGCACCGCGGCGCGGGGGGCGCGGGGGGCGCGAGGGGGGCGCGGGGGGCTCCCGGGCCCGCCACAGCGGGAGGTGCTCGGCGGCCGGGCGCCCGGACCAGCGCGGTCGCCTCCGGCGCGGGGACGAGCGGCGCCGCCCGGACCCTGCCCGCCCGCGGGGAGCGGCGGGGGCCGTCGCGGCGCCGGCTCCGGGCGGCTCCGGAAACCCGGCCCTCGGCGCGCGGGCGGGAAAACGGCGTCCCGGCGGCCGGAGCCCCGGGCCGCGCCCCGCCCCGCCGGCCGCGCGACCGTCCCGGCGGCGCAGGGCCCGCCCCGGCCCGGGCCCGGTGGGGACAAGCCGGGCCGCACAGCCGCGCGGACGAGGCTGCGGAGAGGCCGCGCCGGGCAGGGCCGCGGGCCCGACGCCCGGGACCGGCGCGGGCGGGGGCTGCGCGCCACGTGCGCGCCGGCGGGGGCGGGGCGAAGCGCCCCGGAGGCGGGACCGCCGCGGGGCGGGGCGAAGGCCGGGGGCGGGGCGCCGTGGGGCGCGGGCGGGGCGGGGCTAAGGTCGGGGGCGGGGCGCCGTGGCGCGCGCGGGCGGGGCGGGGCTAAGGTCGTGGGGCGGGGCGCCGTGGCGCGCGCGGGCGGGGCTAAGGTGGGGGGCGGGGCGCCGTGGCGCGCGCGGGCGGGGCGGGGCTAAGGTCGTGGGGCGGGGCGCCGTGGCGCGCGCGGGCGGGGCGGGGCTAAGGTCGTGGGGCGGGGCGCCGTGGCGCGCGCGGGAGTGCCGGGGCTAAGGTCGTGGGGCGGGGCGCCGTGGCGCGCGGGGCGGGCTAAGGTCGGGGGCGGGGCGCCGTGGCGCGCGCGAGACGGGGCTAAGGTCGTGGGGCGGGGCTAAGGTCGTGGGGCGGGGCGCCGTGGCGCGCGGGGGCGGGGCGGGGCTAAGGTCATGGGGCGGGGCGCCGTGGAGCGCGGGGCGGGGCTAAGGCCGTGGGGCGGGGCGCCGCTTGCGCTCGCGAGCAGGGGCGGGGCTAAGGCTGGGGGCGGGGCCGGGCCGGAGGCTGCCGGGGGCGCGAGGCGGGCGTCACGGAACCCGGGGCCGAACGCTCCTGTTCCTCCTCCGCGCCGAGGGAGCCAGGGCGTCCTCTTCTTTTCTGCGGTCGCTCGCCCCCACCCTCCGCGCCACCGCCCCGCCCCGCCCCGCCCCGCCCCGTCTGGACTCCGCCCCCGCCGCAGCCCCGCCCCCGCCGCGGCTCCTCCCCGCCGAGGCTCCGCCCCCGCCGTGCAGCCCCGCCCCGCCGCAGCCCCGCCCCGCCGCAGCCCCGCCCCCGCCGCGGCTCCGCCCCCGACGAGCAGCATGGCGGCCGTGGAGACGCGCGTGTGCGAGACGGACGGCTGCAGCCGCGAGGCCAAGCTCCAGTGTCCCACCTGCATCAAGCTGGGCATCCAGGGCTCGTACTTCTGCTCGCAGGTGCGCGCTCCCCGGCGCCGGCGCTCCCCGCGCCTCCTCTGCCGCCGGCCGCGGACGGGCCGCGCGGGCGCGCGCGGGCTCTGGGCCGGGGCTCGGCGCGGGTCTCCCGGCGGCCCCGCACGGCCTGGGCCCGGCGGGCTGCGCGCTGTGCGGCCTCCCAGGACCGGCGTGGCTGCGGGCACAGGCGTGCGGGCTCCCGGGACAGGTGGGGCTCCCGGGGCCGGTGGGGCTCCCCGGCGCAGGTGGCGCTCCCGGGGCCGGTGGGGCTCCCCGGGGCAGGTGGGGCTCCCCGGGGCCGGTGGGGCTCCCCGGCGCAGGTGACGCTCCCGGGACAGGTGGGGCTCCCGGGGCCGGTGGGGCTCCCCGGGGCAGGTGGCGCTCCCGGGACAGGTGGGGCTCCCGGGGCAGGTGGGGCTCCCGGGGCAGGTGGGGCTCCCCGGGGCAGGTGGGGCTCCCCGGGGCAGGTGGCGCTCCCGGGACAGGTGGGGCTCCCGGGGCAGGTGGGGCTCCCGGGGCAGGTGGGGCTCCCCGGGGCAGGTGGGGCTCCCCGGGGCAGGTGGCGCTCCCGGGACAGGTGGGGCTCCCGGGGCAGGTGGCGCTCCCGGGGCAGGTGGGGCTCCCGGGACAGGTGGGGCTCCCGGGACAGGTGGGGCTCCCCGGGGCAGGTGGCGCTCCCGGGGCAGGTGGGGCTCCCCGGGGCAGGTGGCGCTCCCGGGGCAGGTGGGGCTCCCCGGGGCAGGTGGCGCTCCCGGGACAGGTGGGGCTCCCCGGGGCCGGTGGGGCTCCCGGCGCAGGTGGGGCTCCCGGGGCCGGTGGGGCTCCCGGGGCCGGTGGGGCTCCCGGGGCCGGTGGGGCTCCCGGGACAGGTGGGGCTCCCCGGGGCAGGTGGGGCCCCCCGGGGCAGGTGGGGCTCCCCGGGACAGCTGGGTCTCCCGGGACAGGTGGGGCTCCCGGGGCAGGCGGGGTTCCCCGGGACAGGTGGGGTTCCCCGGGACAGGCGGCGCTCCCGGGACAGGTGGGGCTCCTGGGACGGGTGGGGCTCCGCGAGGCTGGCGTGCCAGGAAGGACAGTCAGTCCCTGGTCCGGGTTGGAGGGGCCCACACCGCCGCACAGGGAGGGGGGACTTGGGAAGGGAGGGAGTCACGACCCAGCCCCCCCTTTGCCTCTGTCCTAACTCCTGAGGTTGGCAGAGCAGCTTTGGGGGGGGACAGGGGTCTGTATGATACATTCTTTTCCTTTGGCACCTCAAATCCTAAATTTAGAAAGCCACGTTACAGAATTTCCCCCTGACTGCAAAAGACCGTTCTTTGGAGGGTTTTGCCTCCAAGCCGCGGTGTCTGAGCAAGTTTTGTGCAGTGCAGCAAACCTGCAGCGCCGGACCCTGACTGAGCGCTGGGCTCCTGCTGCCTTTCCACACTCCCCTGGCGGGGTGTCCCAGCTGCCCGGACTTGTCAAGAGAGGCACGTGAATGTGTAATTACTGCGTTAGAGTGTCAGGAAGAGCAGAGGAGGAAGGCCCAGAGGCCCTGCCCTTGTCAGTTCCTGTACCTTTGAACCAGTCCAACTACCTTGGAGCTCCAGTCTCCCGCGTGTGGTTCCTTCACAGAGTTCACAAGGTTGTTCTGGGGCTTCTGTTATCCAGCAAAAGTGGAGTGCTGACATAATGTAAGGGTTTCGGCTTTTTTTAAAAGATGCCAGTAGGGTTTCACACTTCCATATATAAAAATGTTAAAGACTAGAGTGGCAACAAATACATAGGAGTAATAAATGCAGGTAATATGACTGTCTGAAACGGGAAATGTATGTCGAAAGGCGTGTGTAACGTAAGCATAAATAAGGTTCGCGTGGAAGTCACCCTGAGCGAGGGCCGCTGTGCTGTGCAGGTCTGTGGGCTGTGCTCCTTGCCCTTGTCAGTATCATCTGGAAAAAGTGGCACATGGAGAAGGTTGCTTGATTTAAAAATAGCGTTGAGCTTACTCCACATACTTGTATGAGTCCTTTGTGCTTCTTGAAAATAATTTTCGAATTCTAAATTGTTGAGGGCTTTGAGGGACCTGTATTTTAAAAGAAAAAATATTGAGCTAGGTAGAGTAGCGTGGTTTGCTTTGCCTCCAAATTAGGTGGCATTTTGTAATGCTCAGTAGACTCCCCTGTGCAGACGTTCGCCTGCTTAGGTTTTGAAAAGATACTGTGAGACCATGTTCATCAAGGGCAGAAACAACTGTGGGTGCTGGGGCTTGTGGAACAAAGCCCGCCCGGTCTGTGCAGGTACAGCGGGACTGCTCAGGGTGGTGGGGCTGGAGGTGTCTCGTGCTGGCTTCTGCAGGTTGTCCAGTTGTCTGTGTGCTGACCTGCAGTCAGGTGCTTACTGAATAGCTCCCAGGCTGTCTCTCTCTTTTCTTCACCACCCCCACCATTTTTTCATTTCTCATCAAGTCACTTGTAGGGATCTCTTAAAATTTCTCTCCTGTAATTCCCCACTTTGAGATAATACCCATGAAATTAACCACACAAAGCCTTTTCGAGCAGAAGTTATTTTCCCCCTGACATAGCACAGTTGATCACTTACCCCACCTGTTACAAATGCTCTCTCCTGGAGTGTAGGATTCCAGCCTCTTTGCCTGGACACCTCTTATGCGTTCAGTCTCTTTTTTTAAAATTTTTTTTATTCATTCATACAGGTCAGATGCGCGGGAGGGTGAGAGGATTCACCAGAGACAGAGCAGGGAACAGAACAGGCAGACTGACGAAATACACTGCTGAGGGGAACAGCGGGCGAGACAGCAGAGGTCTGCCGCGCCATGTGGGATTCTCACAGGCTGATCAGGATCTAACCTGCGCTACAGAGGCTGCGGACAGCTTCTCAGTGTGGCGCTCAACCAGCTGGGCCACCAGGGGAGGCCCCTCAGTCTCGTTCTTTTGGTCTGTGAGCGCCTGTGTTTGTACACTTGTCTTCACCTAGAATGTCATCTGCCTTCTGAGATCTTTTTTTACTCCCAACTTGAGATTTTGGTCCAATCATGGACCTTTTCTTTTTTTTTTTTTTGTTTAAAGTTTTATTTATTTATTTATACAAGAACCGGGGTGCAGGGCCTCCCCGGTGGCGCAGCGGTTGAGCGCTGGGTTGCGAAGCTGCCCGCGGCCTCTGTGGCGCTGGTTCAATCCCCGGCTGCTCCCCGGCCACCGGAGGAGGGTCCCGCATGGCGCGCAGACCTCTCCTGCCGCCCGCTGCTCCCCTCAGCAGTGTATTTCGGTCCCTCTGCCTGCTCTGCTCCCCGCTCTGGCTCTGGTGAATTCTCTCACCCTCCCGCGCTTCTGACTGTACCCAGTGCTTGTATAAACAAAAACAAAACAAACAAATAAATAAATAAAAACATGCCTCTATTAAAAAAAAAAAAAAAAAAAGAACCAGGGTGCAGTCAGAAGCACGGGAGGGTGAGAGAATTCACCAGAGCCAGAGCAGGGAGCAGAGCAGGCAGACTGACGAAATACACTGCTGAGGGGAACAGTGGGCGTGAGAGGTCTGAAGAGGTCTGCGCTCCATGTGGGACCCTCGCCGGCGATCGAACCGGCGCTGCAGAGGCTGCGGGCAGCTTCGCAGCCCAGCCCTCAGCCGCTGCGCCACCAGGGGAGGCCTGACTTTTTCTTTTTAAAGATTTATTTATGCATACAAGAACTGAGTTACAGGCCAGAGGTGCGGGAGGTGAGAGGATTCACCAGAGACAGAGCAGGGAGAAGAACAGGCGGATCCACTGAAACACACTGCTGAGGGGAGCTGCGGGGAGACAGGAGAGGTCTGCTGCGCCATGTGGGTTGCTCCCTGGCCGGCCTGGGATTGAATTCGTGCTGCAGAGGCTGTGGAGAGCTTCATAGTGCTGTGCTTAACCCCAGGGCAACCAGGGAGGCCCAGATTTTGTAAATTTTTTAAGGATGGAGGCAGTGCATTCATTTTTGTGTTTTTCTACGTGCCTTGCACACAGTAGGCCCTGCAGTCATTAAATGGAAGGAAAGAGGTTGATCTATCTGGGGGTGAGCACAGAGCATCAGCTCCTTTGTGTGTTCACAAACCCAGGACAGTTGCCGTGTTGCCCTTAATTAAAGCATCCTGAGAAGTGAGAAAACTGAGTGATTTGCAACCCCTAGAAGGCATAAGCGCTTCGAGTCAGTTAATTGTCACTGGAACAAGACTGAGTGTGAGTCGGGCCTGGTCAGTCTTAGCTGCCACATCTGGTGAATTGTCAGTTTGGGGAGAGGGCTGCTGGCGTGTCTGCGCGGGGCGTCTGGGAAGAGCGCGTGCCTGGCGCCCAGCAACAGTGCAGTGAACAGACGGCCCCACGCCCGGCCTCGGTGTAGTCAGGGTTTAAAGTTGCCCAAGGAGAAGAGCCACCTGCCCGTGAACGTATTGGACCAGATCTTCCAGGAGAAGCAGTGGTCCATTGAGGTGGCTGCAGGGTCTGCCACCGGTGAGGGGTTGGCATCTTGCAGGCGGGCCGGAAGGTGAGGAAGGGACGGCAGCGCCGCGGGCAGCGTCCTGGAGACACCAGCCGCCCTCGGAGACCGTTCAGTGGCCACGTTCCTGGCCGCGCGGCATCTCTGAACGCGTCTTGTCATGGCATCAACACCATGTCCCACATTTGATTTCTCTGTCAGTCCCTCGTATCACCTGACGCCAGGCAGATGCTGTTGTACGTCGGGTGATGGGAGTAACTCTTCGTAGTGTCAGCGCAGGAGGAAGGTATAGAAAAGGTGGCTTTTTAAAAAGCAAAAGTAACTTTTTATAGTACAGCCTCGGGGAGTGCAGGTGGAGTACAGTTTCCAGTGACTGTTTCCTCCGGACAGCAGTCCCTAACCGTTTCTCTCTGGGGAATGCCAGACCCTGATTTTCGTGTTTGCTCTTTCAGGAATGCTTTAAAGGAAGCTGGGCCACTCACAAGCTGCTGCATAAGAAAGCAAGTAAGTACAGCTGCGGGGTCACGGCCAGCCGTGCTGAAAGGCAGAGCTGTGGCCTTTGCGTTCGCTGATCCGCCCAGGCACACCCCATGTGGCAGAGGAGGAGCGGGCGGCCACACATGGCTTTTCTTTGGGGTTAGTTTCCCCTTCGATGGCATTCTCTACCCAGGAGGGCACACAGGCGCACCTCGGCGGTGGGGGGGCTCTGGCTCCAGGCTGTTGCAACACAGCAGGCTGCACAACTCTTGTGTTGCTCTCAGTTGGGAAATTTTGCCTCAGTTAGATTTTATATTTCAAAATGGGCTCCCAGTGTCCTGGTGGTGTGGAGAGACTACGCCGTCCTTGAGGAGAGGGGTTCTGTGAGCTGCTCCTCCTTGATGCTGTGTAGAACCTAGAATATGTTCAGCTTGAGCCTTTCTCTGCAGACCCTGAGGCCTGTGAGAAGGGTCAGGCCTGCGGGACCGGGTGTGCTGCAATGGCCAGGAAGGGCTGGGTCTGGGCAGCTCTGGGGCTTCCAACAGTGAGATCGGGGCCGCCTCTGGGCCTGCCCTGAGCGTTCTCCCCTTCTCTCCTGCTCAGAAGATGAAAAGGCGAGGCGTGAAGTGTCGTTCTGGACGGTGGAAGGCGACGTCAACACTGACCCGTGGGCCGGCTACCGCTACACGGGGAGGCTCCGGCCCCACTACCCGCTGGTGAGCACCAGACCCCGCCACGCCCTCTTGAGCCTCTCCAGTTTTTACTTTCTTGAAAATGTTACATGTGATTTGTATTCCAGTAATAATTCCTAGAATCAGTATGGCGTTCACATTCTGGTTCTTTAGCTTTTATGTTTGATTCATTATTTGAAAGTTAGCAGGGACACTTGGCAATCATGGACAGAGCAGGAGCAACTTCGGAGGGAAGGTTTAAAACTCATTTAATCGTGGGCCTCCCCCGTGGCCTAGGGGTTAAGTCTCAGGCTATCAGCCTACTGCCTGAGTCCGTCCCCGGCCAGGGAGCTGACCCACACCGCGCAGACCTCTTCTGTCTCCCCGCCGCTCCCCTCAGCAGCCTAGTTCAGTCAGTCTGCCTGTTCCGCTCCCCACTCTGTCTCTGGTGAATCCTCTCACTCCCTGCACCTCTGGCCTGCACCCCAGCTCCTGTATGCATAAATAAAAACCAAAAACTTATTTTATCTTTAAAAAGCATGGGAAAAGTAGCTATTTCCTGCCTGTTGTGGTGGTGTGTATTTTTAAAAAGGGATTTCTCTTCATCTAGTTTCCTTTCTGCCACTTCACCTCTTCCTGTGGTATTGGTATCTATTGTCTTCCTTAGATATTTAAGTTCTCATTACTGATACTTTTTTCTTTAATGTGTCTTTGATTACAATTTCGGGGAAATAATCAAAATCATAAGTTTCTTCACGCCTCCCTGTAGCTATGGGGACAGGACTGTGCTGATTCCATTACTTTGAGACCTTATTTTTATTGTTGGTTTGTCAGGTTTTTTTTTTTTAAAGATTTATTTATGAATATAAGAGCTGGGGTGTAGGCCAGAGGTGCAGGGGAGTGAGGGGGTGAGAGGATTCCCCCAGAGAGAGCGGGGAGCGGAACAGGCAGATCCACTGAAATCCACTGCTGAGGGGAGCAGCGGGGAGACAGGAGGGGTCTGCTGCGCCATTTAGGTAGCTCCCTGGCCAGGTATGGAACTCGGGCTGCAGAGCCTGCTGATGGCTTCATAGTGCTGAGATTTAACCCCTGTGCCACCAGGGAGGCCCCCTATTTAATACTTGAGTGAAGTCTTTAGTGTTTTTCCCTCCAGTTTTATTTTCTTTGTTAATAAATTTTAATAATGAGAGCTGCTTAATATTTGAATCAGTTTTAATTCCCCTCTTGGATGTCATCAGATGCCAACCAGGCCGGTGCCAAGCTACATTCAGAGGCCAGACTACGCTGACCACCCGCTAGGTGAGCCCCCCTCCCCCACCACGCGCCCACGCCGGTCATGTCACAGGGGCCGGGCTTGTTGGATTTTCTTAGATAGCATCTTACTTGGGATTTCCGTATCACCATTTATTAAAAAAAGATAAATTTTTGTTTTGTCAGATACTGAAATAGTTACTATATTGACTTTAATACTTTTTAAAGGTATGGTTAATTTCAGTTAAGCTGATTTTATTAGTTAGGGCAAGATTTTCCAAACTTGTTTGGACTCTGGCCCAGCATGAGAAGCACATTTGCTGGCATCTGCGCACGAGCGGGGGTGTGCAGGATAACCCGGCCCCGCTTGGCGAGGCAGCTGGACGTTCGTGTCCCGTTTGGTAACACAGAGCAGGGCAGTGCAGCCCTGGGAGGGCCACAGGCGCAGGCTGAACCCCGGGAGGCTCCAGGTTGAAGGGACGCTCGAGACTGGCCAGCAGCTGCTCCATGAGGTGGCGCGGGCACGCCTGGGGACCACGCTGCTTACTGCGCCGCCTGCTGACCTTCTGAAGGTGCCGACTGCTAGCAGACCCCAGAATTTGTTCTTCAGAGTTCTCCTTGCAGTTTGTTCAGCAAGTTTCCCTTTCATATTGAAAATATTTTTTACAAAAGTCTGACCTGGGCCCTCCCAAATCACGCAAATCAGTGTCCAGTGAGACTTGTCAGTCATCAGCTGGGAGGCGGGTTTTCTCCTGGATACGGCAGCTCTCCGTTCATCTTGCTTTTGCTGACTGCTTTTCCTTTCCAGGAATGTCTGAATCTGAACAGGCTCTTAAAGGTACTTCTCAAATTAAATTGCTCTCCGCGGAAGACATAGAAGGCATGAGGCTGGTGTGCAGGGTGAGTCGGGGCTGCAGGGCCTGCACGCTCGGGTCGCTCGAGTCGAGGCGTGCTTGTTTTCTGTTAAAAAGCCGAGTTGAGGATTCATGTGGTTAGTGATCTGCCCTTGCTTGCTGGTCTGTTTTTTGTTTTTTTTTTTTAAAGAACTAGGTGTTCATGGTTTTCTGTCGTCTTGTTTTCGTGAGCGCCTACGGCTGCCCCGATGCCGGCAGAGCTGCTCTTGTGGGGTGGCTGTCCCCGTCGAGGGAAAATGCAGGCTGCACTGATGCTCATTTGGGAAATGACCCCTTGAGTTTTGATTCTGTACTTTAATCTGGAGAAGTCTGTGGTTCTGTCACTTCCTGTGGTTCTTTGAGGAACGTGTCGTCAGTCTTGTTCCCCGCACCCCCATTGAAAAGCGGGAAGGGTTTGCTCTCTCCACACGTGCAGGCCCCTTGGGCAGCCAGGCCTTGTCGTGAGCCTGCTCGCTCGCCTCCTCCCGTGTACCTGCACGTGTTTACTGATGGGCACTGGGAATGTATAAGTGGTTTTAAAATGAAAACTGGGGATGAAGATACTTGAGGTTGAATCTTGCATTAGTCACACTTTGCAATCTGCGACGCAGCCTCTGAGACAGCGTGGAGGTCACACTGCCCTGTGCTCCCCGCGGGGTGTCCCTCTCGTTGCAGCTGGCCAGGGAGGTGCTGGACATCGCAGCCGGGATGATCCAGCCGGGCATCTCCACCGAGGAGATCGACCACGCCGTCCACTTGGTGAGAACTTGGCTTTATTCTTTGAAAACAGGCTTGCGTTAGTTGATGTTTAAGTGAGCGTATGTTCTGAGGGTCCAGTCACTGGGCTGAGCTAATTTCAAAATAATTTTTGTTTTCTTTGAAAAATAGAAAGCACTCAACAGTCATTATTCTCATCTTTAAGTAACTGAAGTTTGGGAGGCACGTCAAACAGCTTGTGTCCGAAACCGCATTTTACAGCACTTCAGCTTTTTATAAAATGACTGATTTCATCAGTGCTTCAAATGCCATGCCAGTACCTGCACTGCATGTTCTGAAATAAATGAGAATACAAGCCCCGAATCGAGGGTGCTGGGAAAGACCCCTTCCGTGCCCGCAGCGGCAGTGCCATAACAGACACCTGTTTCGCTGTGTGGCGTGAAGGCTGCCGGTCCCTGGGCGGCCGTAGCCTGGGCCGGGAGCGCGGGCTGTGTGAGTGCAGTTGGCAAAGAGAGCGAGGCCCCGCGACTGAGAGGACAGAGCACGCACCAAGCCTTTCCTGGCAGTCACACAGATGCAGGCCAGGACCACCTGGTGTTGGTGTTTCGTGGGTGTGTGTGTCCATCACCCGCATGGAGATGGTGAAGCCGCTTTTGTAAGCTCTTAAAGAGTTTACAGAAAGATTTTTTTCAGAGTTTAAAAAATCCTGATTTTGGGGTATTGTCCCATTTGTTTAAATGCATAGGGTGCAAGGGCAGCATTTTGAGTGCTTCTTGGAGCAAGTGTTCTTTTAAGGGCTTCTTCTCCTACCTCATATACGCGCCCTCACGGCTTCACCAGGTGGACACTGCCAGCCCCTCTCAGCGGGGAGGACGCACCGCGAGCCGTCAGCTGACGTCCCCGCGCAGACCGTTGCTTCTGCGCTTAGCTGTGCTGCGAGATTCGCAGAAGTAAATCCTCAGAAAAGGGGAAAGTGGTGGATGGACAGTTATTGGTTGTAATTTTTTTGTGGTTGAGGAAACTTAAGTTCATTTAAAGGTCTAGTAGTAGTGGAGTTGCCAGCACAATTACGGTGTGTTCTACACGTTGTGTTCCATGCCTGTGTCTAAGAATTATTACTTCAAAGGATGTGTGGCAGTGTGGAAAGAGAACTGTGTGCTGTGATTTCTTACTGTGTGGGAACAACCAAGTAAAATGAGACTTTTAAGAAAAACCAGACCCTTCTCCCTGAGGGTGGTGGTTGCTCTACATGCGTGCCGTGACTGAAACGTTTCTGGAAGCACTCGAGTGCTCTTAATTGCGTTAATATTTTTGGCCCTAGGGAATATAGATTTTAAGGTCTTCATTTATTTTTAATTTTTATTTTTTTTAAGATTTATTTAATATACATACAAGATCTGGGCTACAGGCCAGAGGTGCAGGGGGTGAGAGGATTCACCAGAGACACAGTGGGGAACAGAACAGGCAGACTGACTGAAATACACTGCTGAGAGGGCAGCGGGCGAGGCAGGAGAGGTCTGCTGCGCCCTGTGGGTAGCTCCCTGGCCGGCTGGGGGATCAAACTCGTGCTGCAGTGGCCGAGGCCAGCTTCATAGGTTATGCCTTAACCCTTTGCTCCACCAGGGAGGCCCCCAAGGTCTTCTTTTATTACTTAGGATTTATAGCTTCCCTAAAATTGCATTTTAACATTTCCTTTAAATGGTATTTCTAACTTGAAATAATTTTTTCATGAGGAATAATTTCAAACTAGAATGTATGGCGACGTGTGTGTTCGTGGCTTGGCTTCTCCTCTGCCAGTGCTCTGGCCACACGCCCTTGTAGGCTGTTCAGCTCCTGTGTATTACTACTTCTAAGAGAAAACAGGCGTTCTTGAGGGGACCATTTGTACAAGTGTTTTCCAAACGTAAAGATCTGGTGAATTGCATGCGTTTTTTTTCTTTCGCACATTGCACATTAGTACTCTGTATTTTGGTTTGCCGTAGGCGTGCATTGCCAGGAACTGCTACCCGTCTCCGCTGAACTATTATAACTTCCCAAAGTCCTGCTGCACGTCCGTGAACGAGGTCATCTGCCACGGGATCCCAGACCGGCGGCCCCTGCAGGAGGGCGACATCGTGAACGGTAAGTGCCGGCTGGGCAGTGGCCACCTGCTTTCTTCACTTGCTTCCTGTCCTCGACTTCTTTTTTTGTATTAAAAACTCCAAATAAACCTAACATCCTGGCAGCTGTTCTGTGGTCTTAGGTCTGCCGTAGGGCGGAACGTGTTCCCGAGTGCAGAGCAGCTGTGAGGGGGGAGACCCGGCAGGACGGGAGGGTTGACGGTGTGAGCTTTGAGTCCCTGGTGGTCTGAAGAGTCCAGAGCGGCCCCTGGCGGTGAGGGCAGCTCCCTGGTGACAGACGGGGCCTGGAGGAAGAGGGTCCCTTAAAGCAGCGCCTTCTGCTCGAGGCCCCAGAGGGGACTGCAGCCTCCGCTAGGTATCCTGGGAAGTGGGTGTCCTGGGAAGTGGCCGTCCGTGTGCCCGTGACGGAGAAGTTCCTGACAGGATGGCTGGCATCTCCCATGCTTGGGGCGGGTGTTAAGTGTTGCGAGAGCTGTGGGGGGCGCTAGCTTCACCACACTGTTGGGCGTGGCTCTTACTGCTTTGGTTTATCAAGTTCGGTGAGTTTTGGGGGCTGTGCCCAGCCCTGTTTTTATTGAACTCACTCTTTTTCTTTTGTGCACAACTGTGAGGTTTTCCAGGAACGTGTGCTGGGTTGGGCCGACATAGCCTGCCCATGCGGGGTGATGGGGCCATATCCGGGGGGGTCCGTGTGGCTGAGTGGGCTGCAGAGGGGACCCACGATGCCATCTTCTCACTGTGTGGCCCGCTCACAGCACTGAGTGTGGTGCAGGGGACAGGTTTGGCTGCCTGTCACCATGCCCACAGGAACCAAGCTCTTTCACATGGGCACAGAGGGGAGGAAGGTTGTTCCCAAGGACGCAGAAGACACACAGGTTTTTGGAGAGCCCGTGGGCAGCGCACACAGTCCGTGTCCTCGCTTGGGGGGGGTGGAAGACGCTCTCGGCAGCATGTTCTGTGTAGTGCCTGCCCGTAGCGGCGCCTCCACTTCTGCCACTGTCTCTGCTCGCTGCCCCACACGAGCCTGTCCTGGGTGTTTCTTTCTTTTGCCACAAGTGGTCCAAGGCCACGTGAGAGGGCCTGGCCTCGGCTGTCCTCCTGGCGCCCCCGTGGTGGAGCGGGGAGGTGTTTCTGCGCGGCAGCTGCTCACCGGCGCTGTGGAGCCTAGGTGCCCACGTCCTCCTTCTCTTGCAGTGGACATCACCCTCTATCGCAGCGGCTACCATGGCGACCTGAACGAGACCTTCTTTGTTGGAGACGTGGACGAGGGGGCCCGGAGACTGGTGCAGACCACCTATGAGTGCCTGATGCAAGCCATCGACGCAGGTGGGCCCCCCGCGCCGTCTACCGGCCTCAGCGCCCTGGCCGGGGCTGCTGCGTGCCCACCGCCTGCCCTGCGGTGTCTCCCTTTTCTCTGACTTCCTTTCCTTTGGCTGCTATGTGAGGCGTGCTGGGATGGTTTTTAGTGCAGTTTCTTCCTATTTCTTTTATTCTTTCAGTGCTGCGTCATGAGAGAACGATGAATGGTCCTCTTTACTTCCTTTAAAAAAATTTTTTTTTTAAAGATTTATTTATGCGGGGCCTCCTTGGTGGCGCAGCCGGTTGAGCACAGCACTGTGAAGCTGTCCACAGCTGCTGCAGCGTGGGGTTCAATTTCCAGCCAGTCAGGGAGATACCCGCATGGCGCAGCAGACCTCTCCTGTGTCCCCGCTGCTCCCCTCAGCAGTGTTTCCAGTCCGTGTGCTTGTTCTGCTCCCTGCTCTCTCTCTGGTGAATCATCTCACCCTCCTGCCCCTCTGCCCTGTACCCCAGCTCTTGTATAAATAAATAAATAAATCTTTAAAAAAAAAGATTTATGTATGCAAGAGCTGGGGTGCAGGTCAGAGGTGCAGGGGTGAGAGGATTCACAGAGACAGAGCGGGGAACAGAACAGGCAGATCTACTGATATGCACTGCTGAGGGCAGCAGCGGGGAGACAGGAGAGCTGTGCTGCGCCATGTGGGTTGCTCCCTGCCCAGGGATCGAACTCGTGCTACAGTGGCTGTGATAGATTCACACTGCTGAGACTTAACCCCTGCACCACCCAGGAGGCTACTTCCTTTCTTTATTTCTCTCTTCAGACTTTTAATGTTTAAGTTTTTTCTCCCCTCTGCCCAGGAATCGTGTAATGTTGTACCTGAATCTGGGGTTGGACATCAGGTGGGCAGAGCAGGAGACCCAAGAGCCCAAAGCTCTGGTCTCCAGGAGCATGGGGGAGCCATAGCAGCCATGGCAACCCTTTTCTGTTTTTTATTGAAAAGAGTGGATAAGTCAGGAATCAAACACAGGAGGCCCGTACGGGGAGACTCACTCTGGACTCCGCCCCAGGGCCCTCTTAGTTGCTCGCTAAGTGTTAGCTATTGCTTTCTCACGCGTCTCTCTTGTTTTCAGTGAAGCCTGGTGTTCGATACAGAGAGCTGGGAAACATAATCCAGAAGCACGCCCAAGCAAACGGGTTTTCAGTCGTTCGGAGCTACTGTGGGCACGGGATCCACAAGCTCTTCCACACGGCCCCCAACGTGCCTCACTACGCCAGTAAGTGCTTCCGAGCCCAGCCGCCGGCCCTGTCCTCAGACACTTTGTCGCTGTGACCAGAGCGTGGGTTGATGCCCGTGCACGCTTGCGTAGCACACGGTGCCCTGCCCTGCCTGGCCCAGACTGGCTGCCACTGGTGCCATCACCTGTAGCTTTCAGGGTCACTTTGGGAGTTGCCTTCCCCATCCAGAGACACTGGGGCAGAGGGGAGCATGTGGGGATGTGCTGGGCGGTGGCTAATGATTCACCTGGAGTTGCTTAAGTTACTTATAGTAACTCTTTGCTGCTGAGAATTCAGTCGCGTGACTGTGGTGCGGGGAGGTTGGGGATCTGGCTAAGTCCAGGAGGAAGACATAGATGGTTCTGGTGGACACAGTTTCTGCCCCGCGTCTGGCCACCGCTGTCCTGCCCTCGTGGGGGAGGGTGGCGGGCAGCGTTTGGCTGGTGCTCGTGTCCTCAGACACCAGCCTGTTCGCTGCCATAGAGGAGCAGATGCCCCCTCCTCCAGTTAGCTGCGCCTTCCAGGAGAGACAGCAAGCAGGGTGGGCCTGTTGCTTGGGGTCAGACCAGGGCCGGTGTGGCGCGTTCGCGTGGGTGCCGGCCTGATTGTACTGCGCAGGGAGGCTCGGCCCTGGCGTGGCCAGAAGACCCGGGGTGGTGCCTGGAGTGCGCCATACTGGCTCGAGCATGGCTGGGACGGCTGCTGCCCACCCCGTCGTCGTGGCTGAGTGATTTCTGGCAGGGTCTGTGCTTGGAGGAGTCTCTCCTCTGCTCAGTTCTCACTCACTGTGATGGAAGCTGGGCCAGCGCTGGCCTGGCTCTCTGGCTGTCCAGCTGGCCTTTCCCTGCCCTGCATGTGGCATGGGGAGGACTGTGGGCAGCACAGGCGTGGCCTGGAGGCTGGGGAAGAGCGTCCATGTGGGGGGGCCCCATGCTGATCACAGACAGCGAGGCCAGCCAGTGTCTGGGTCAGAGCCGGCACAGACTACTGGGGTCTGCATAGTATCTTTGGGCAGAGGCATGAGCTGGGGGCTGCTCTTCAGGGGGTGCTCCTCGCACAGAGTCTGGAGCGCAGGCTGACGTGAGCCCTCAGCCGGCCTGGTGCTGCTGTGGACATGCGGTGGTGGCGGGAGCCGGGCGGCGGGGCCGGGCCAGCTCAGGAGGAGGAGCAGGCCCTGTTCAGAGCACAGGCTGACTTGTGCTGGTCCACGCCGGCCAGAGACCGGCCGTTCCTCAAGCTGCGAACCACGCAGACAGGCGCTTCCCTCCCCAACGCCGGTAGGCCCGGCTGGTCCCGGCGCCCCCAGAGGACCCTCCTGGCTGCTGTGCAGGCTTGTGAAGAGTGCGGGGGAAGTTCATTTCAGTAGGGTATTTCCCTTACTCCAGCGCATTCGAATACCAGACCCCAGCCTCTGAGCACAGGGAGGACCGCTGGGGTGTGTGAACGGAGCGGCTTGGTGCCGCGGCCCTGCGGGGCTGCCCGGCCCTCCTGGTGTGCGATCCCGCCCAGCCATGTCCTGGCCCCTGCCCGGCTGGCCTTGGCCCCGCTCCTCGCTTCCCGGGACACACTGAGGCCCTCTGCCGGCCGCCCCGGGGAGCGTGACCCCTGGCGTGGAGTCAGTCGCTTGGCCTGGAAGGAAAGTTTGAGAAGTGATGAAGAGTTGGGATTACTTTCGCCAGGCAGCGCTCCTGCCTGCTGGTGACCGTGTGTCTCTCTTTCTCCTAATGAACTTGTCCTTTTAAAAGGTGAAAAAATCACCTTTGCCCCCAGATTTTACAGAGTAGAAGCTCCAGCAGCGGGGGCCGGGTGCAGCGGGGCGCCTCCCCGGGTCGGGCGGCCGAGGCCGGGCAGTCCCGTGCCTGCCGGGCTTAGGGGTTTCCAGGGGGCAGCAGCAGCGTTTGGGGCCGCAGAACTGCCCCCCTGGGGTGAGTGTGCGTGGGCGTGGCCCTGCAGCACCCCAAGGTTTCCAGCAAGTGTTCTTTTCCCCAAGGGGAACAACACCTGTTTTCCCTTTTGCCGCCTGACACCCAGCCCGGGGTGTGTCTGGAGAACGGGGCCCGGGGGAAGGAGCCGGGTGGGGGGGGGCGCGGCAGCCACCCCGCCGAGGCCACCCCACGAGAGTCTTCCTCATTGCAGAGAACAAAGCAGTCGGTGTGATGAAGGCGGGCCACGTGTTCACCATCGAGCCGATGATCTGCGAAGGTAACCCCCGCGCTCCGGGCGGCCTCGCGGGGCCGGGGCCTGTGGGGCCTGGCCTGTGCCCCTCTTCGCAGCTGTGGGTGTGGGACGGCCCCCGGCCCTGGCCCTGTAAGGTGGGGGGAGGCGGCGGGATGGGAGCGGGGGCGGGGAGGATTCGCTTTGGTTTCTGGACCCAAGCGCTGGTATTTCTGGAGCCGGTTCGGTTGGATCTCCACAGCCCAGCGCCCCCCCGTGTGACCCCCGGGCTCACCCCAACCCGGAACGGACGGGCTGGGGGTTTCCTCAGAGTCACGGCCAACTATTCTGACCGACATCTTTAGCAAGGAGCCTGATTTGGCAGCGCACAGCAGACAGAGGGGTCACAAAGCCCTTTTGTGAGCAGCCGTTGGGTCCCGAGCACACCAGACCGCGGGGGACCGATGGGCGCTGACGGGCTCCCCGGCCTTGGCTGGTTTGCCTGGTCTGACGCTGTGGATGGAGGCTCGTGTCTGGGACTTGGGGCACCGAGGCCTAACCCTTCATCTATGGGCTGCTCAAAACAAAGAACGCTTTTAATTTTAATTGAGATGTAATTTGGAAACAAGAACATCTCTAAATATATTATAGTGGTGTCCAGAATTGCTTAGCTTTTTCTTTCCAACCCCGCTCCCCAGACTCCTCACCTCTCCCTGCTTCTCTCTCTGCCCCCATGACCCCCTCTCTAGCCCTTTCTGCCTCATTGAGGCTCATTTTCCTGCTACTCCCTATTGCTTTTTACCCCTCTTTCTGGCTGTGTGGGTGTGGTCTACACAGACATCACTGACTGCTGTCATTTATCTCCCGTCTGCTGTCATTTAAAAACCATATTGAGGGCCTCCCCGGTGGCGCAGCGGTTGAGCGCTGGGTTGCGAAGCTGCCCGCAGCCTCTGCAGCGCCGGTTCGATTCCCGGCTGCTCCCCGGCCACCGGAGGAGGGTCCCGCATGGCGCGCAGACCTCTCCTGCCGCCCGCTGCTCCCCTCAGCAGTGTACTTCGGTCCTTCTGTCTGCTCTGCTCCCCGCTCTGGCTCTGGTGAGTTCTCTCACCCTCCCGCGCTTCTGACTGTACCCAGTGCATGTATAAACAAAACAAACGAACAAACAAACAAATAAATAAATAAAACATGCCTCTATAAAAAAAAAAAACAAAAAAAAAAAACCCATATTGAGTGCTCTGAGCTGTAAGTTACATTAAGGAATTAAGTGTTATAATGGAAGGATGAACAGTCCTCATATTCCCTTCCTAATATACATTGGCTATGGTTTAGTCAAATGCCAGAGTTACACCAGGACAGAGCTAAATCCATTAATTCAATTTTCTAGTCATAGTTGTATGATTAGTGGTATCAAATGTTTTGTAAAATGAAGCCGAATGTCTTTATTTTGGAACTATCTTGAATTCAGTATTTGGGAAATATAAAAAATGTGAAGTTATAATGCACCGGAGGAAATGGAAGCATTACTTCATTGGCCTAAGACCAGAGTGAAGTTGGAAAGAGTTGACTGAAGCAGCTGAAGTGTAACTGGTGTCTGGCGTGAAACCGCTGATCGGTCTGACGTATGCAAGCAGGTGGATGCCAGCACACACAGCAGCGTCCAGCTGAGGGCGGGCGGGGGATCAAGAGGGTCTCTCTCTGTTCTGCAGGAGGCTGGCAGGACGAGACCTGGCCGGACGGCTGGACGGCGGTGACCAGGGACGGCAAGCGCTCGGCCCAGTTTGAGCACACACTGCTGGTCACAGACACCGGTTGCGAGGTCCTGACACGGCGGCTGGACAGCGCGCGGCCCCACTTCATGTCCCAGTGCTGACGCCGGCGCCCGGCGCCTCCGCTGTCTGTGCATCTGCACCGAGCACAGGGTGGAGGAGGAGACGTCTGTTTCGGGCTGGCTTGGGCTGTTGGTAAGGAGGGACCACAGCGTGTGTCCTCCAGAACACGTCTCGGGTCTGGAAAAGCCGAGAAGGATCAAGCAATCGTTTCTCACCTTTCCGTGCTCCCCTCTCCCCGCAAATCTCCTCAGTTTCTCCTTTGGCCCTTGAGCACTTTTACTTAAGCCGCCTCTGGCTGCTGTTATCACTGCCACGCGGCCTGGGGGCCGCAGCCTGCCAGGCGGAGGCTGCACAGGAGGGTCCTTGAAACTTGGGCAACGTGAGTTGCCGCAGATCTTTTTTTATGGTGTGGATGGAAATGTAGACGGACACATTTTTAAACTCCGTGTGTGTGATTCGCGAGTGCTCTCTGGCCTGAGTCGTGACCGTGCTCCGGCGTGTCCACCGCGCCCGCGACTAGGCTGTCATTCTGCAGCGATTTGTCCCCATTTGGGAGGTGCCCCCTGCCCCCGGCCCCACCTTCAGTATCTGCCCTGTGATTTGTGTGGGGGCACGCTCGGTCTACCAGGTGTTCCCTCCGGTATGAGCTCTGCGAAAGGATCTGGCAAAATTCACTTTGGAAAAGGTTATCAGGATTTTAAAGTCACTTAACTTTTTGTGAGAACAGCAGCCACACTCCAAGCGGAAGCAGCTGTGGTCGGGCCTGAGGCTGCGGTGTGCTTGGCCTTTCAGACTTTCTGGCGGAAACGGGAGGACCCAGCCCTCTTTGTTCCCTCTGTTTGAGTTCAAGGGCTTACGTGGCAGATGGATGGACCAGGGTGGACTTTGCACTGTGGAGGGTGCTGGGGAGGGCCCTTGCTGAAGTTTCTCCAGCAGTGGGGCGGCAGCGGCCACGCTGATGAGACAGGAGAGTCTTTGCGGGGGGGTGTACACAGCTGAGCACCGCACCGAGTGACCCTGGCTGCCAATGTCCTCCCGTCAGTTAGCGCAGTCCCTGTGGGCGTGTGTTGGGGAGGACATCAGCCTGCCCCCGGGCTGTCCTGTCCTGGTTCCCGGGAATCTGGGGACCCTTGTAACGTGATTGGATACATGGACATGTGCTTGTAGAATATCTTTCCCAGAGTGCCTCAGACCTCTTGCTTTCAAAGAATTATAATGTTTTCATTACTTTTATTATTTTAATGATTTAGTAAGGTGACCGAATCTGGTATAGACTTTTTGGGGGGTATGTGAGTGAAGTTTTTATCAAACTGTAATATTTGTGAATGGAATGCCTTGCAATATGAATGTTAATATAATGTGTAAAGGGAGATTAAAGAACTTGAACGATTACCCCTCCATGTAGTCATCAACTTTGCCGCAGTTGTTTGGGATTTCATAGGGAAGTGGTGGGAAGGGATGGCTGATTCCATAATCTTAAATAAATGGCCATTGGAGCAACGTTTTCACGTTTAATGTGTATCCGTGAATTCCAGTGCTGAGTTTGCTCTGCCAGCAGCATTGGTGACACCACCGTATTTTTGGAGAGCTTTTAAGACAGAGAATGCTGAATATTTAGGGAGCATTTTATCTCCTGATAGTGGAATTAACAGTATGGGCTTATTTAGTATCTGATTAGAAAATTAAGCTCAAGAAAAAAGATCTCTGGGAGTTTTTATTAAAAGACGTGCCAGCACACCAGCCATAGTGCTGCCCTCCACGCGGGAGATTTTAAAGCAAACTGGGTACATGTCTAATTGTATGTAAGTCAGTACAAATGTTTACTAGATGTAGATGAGAAAATACCTACCTTCGTCATCCTACTAACTTTTCAAAAGAAGTCATCCTATTAAACTTATTTTTTGCATTAACTTTTGAAATAATACATATTTTTTTCTGCCATTCCTCTGTCCCCCCTTGGGATTATAATTTGGAAGGGAAAATTTTGCCTTTTATCTAAATCACTGGACTTTGCTGGTAAAATGAAGGTACTTTGAGCCATTCACCACCACCACCACACTCATGCTGTCCGCGAGTCTAGCCGGCTAGGGCGAGGCCAAGGGAACGGAGTCCTCGCTCGGCCTTGAAGCGCTCTGGACTTGGGCAAATTGCCGTCAGGATGAACCCCCTGGCACCTGTATGTTTTCCCCTTCAAGTTTTATTTGTACTTCCAACCTTTTGAGTATTTCAGATTTATTTATTTAAATATACAAGAACTGGGGCACAGGCCAGGTGTGTGGGAGGGCAAGAGGATTCACCAGAGACAGAGGGGGGAACAGAACAGACAGACTGACTGAAATACACTGCTGAGGGTGCAACAGGAGAGGTCTGCCCACTATGTGGGTTTCTCCCCAGCCAGCCGGATGGAACCTGTGCTAGAAGAGGCTGTGGACAGCTTCACAGCGCTGCGCTCAACTGCCTGTGCCACCAGGGAGGCCCTATTTCACATTTACAGACGAGTTGAAAGGACTGTACATTGGACCCATCACTGTTTCACATGTTCCCCACCTCCCGGAGGCGGTGAACATGCAAGCCCAGGCTCAACTCCTGGAAGGTTCTAGAAAACTGGTGTTCATTTAAAACCCAGGGCACTCAACTGCCATATACCCGAAGTCTTCTCCAGAACAATTCCTGCCCTTTTGGTGAACTTGACCTTGAAATGGCAGGCGTTGGCTCATAGAATTGTACTTCTCAAGAGCGGGGCCAGGACATGATTTTACCAGGAGGCGGTTGGGGGTGACACGCTTGCTGGGCCTGGTGCAGGCGCTTAGGGCCATTCCCAGCAGGGCTGGCTTTGGGATAACTCGCCAGCCCCTGTCCACATTCATTAGCCTGGATTTGTCTACAAATAAGCACTTTTCCCCCTCACTTGACCCACTTTAAAAAAAAAAAAGTGGGCTCAACAATTATATTTAAAATTTTGTTTATGCATACAAGAATGGGGGTGTAGGCCAAGGGTGGGGGGGGGTGATGAGAGAACTCACCCGAGATAGAGTGGGGAGCAAAACAGGCGGATCCACTGTAATACACTGCTGCGGAAGCAGCAGGGAGACAGGAGAGGTCAGGGAGCTGCGCCACGTGGGTCAGCTCCCTGGCCGGGGGATAGAACTCAGGCCACAGTGGCTGGAGATAGCTTCATTGTGCTGAGACTTAACCACTGTGCCCCCAGGGAGGTCCCTGGAGAAAGCTGTTCTTAAGTTAATAGGCAAGACCCTGACGTGCTGCGTGGAGTCCCTGAGCTGGCAGTAGACATGGCTCAGCCATCTGCCCTGCCTCCATCTTCCCTTTAAAAACAAAGATGAGAATGAAATAAACCAAAGAAATGACAACTTCCACACATGTGCAGAAATGATTTTTATGTTAAACGATTCCTTAATGAGTTGACAGTTATTCATGTGAGAGTCCTGCAAGCAGATTTAAGACTGTCACTAGCCTTGTACTTGATTAGATTTAGGATTTATATACAAAACACCCCAGAGTAGGTCACTACAGGTCTACGAGGCTGTGAACTGTGCGAGCCCCTCCAGTCTGGCTGCGCCCGTCAGGCCACATGATGGGTGGGGACGTCTTTCCTGAATTTAAAATTTTACAACTGTTCGAATGCTGCAAGAGAAGAAAGTCATAAACAGGCTGTGAATGGCATCTTTTCTTGGAGGACCACAAAAACTGTAATTGTGCGCCTTTCTCTCAGCATTAATCTCAGTCATTACTTGTTCTATAACACCCAGCCACAGAGGAAGCTCACCTCTTTCCCGCATGCAGCAGGTCAAAGGCTTTGTTAATTTGGTCAAAAGGAAGAGTGTGAGTCACAAATTCGTCGACTTTTATCTTTTTGGACATATATTCAGACACCAGCTTTGGGACGCTTTCCACACTCTTCCATCCTGAAAGAGATCAGACTTACCCTGTTATAACAAACCTCTAGGGTCAAGTCAGTGGGTGACACAAAGACATTTCAGAAGGCGAATTTCATAACTCAAAGAGGAATGACAATCTTAGAAATTCAGCAGAGAGGATGGTATTAGAGCACATCAGTAGTTAGGGGGAAAAAATTGTCTGAGTGTAGTTTCTATGTTCATATTAACTACAATTTCATTAAGGTTTTCTAGCCAGTTAAGACTAACGACCCAGGGCAGAACTCCAAGTCTTCAGACAAGCTTCTTTAGGTCCACGACCATTAAGGATTTCCGTAATCATTAAACTCTAGGAAGAAAAGATTTGATGTGACACATGACTTTCTTTGCTTTGAAATTCAATAGGGAAATAGGAACATTTCAAAACACAAAACTATGGCCCTATAAAAGTAAAGTAGGAAATCCTTAGCTATATACGATTTTATTTCATTATTTGTTTTTTACTAGTCAGGCATTCTGCTTATTTGGCTTCATAATTACAAAAGTGTGTCCTGCCAGGCACAGCACCTCTCTTGTTCCGGTCACCAGCTATCCCATGGGGCAGTCTCAGGCTCCCGGGCATAGCTCTGGGGCCGGCCAAGCCGCAGGCCAGCACACCTGCTCAGGAAGGCTCCTGCAGCATGCCCAGGGGCATGGTGTGCCCAGGTGTCTGTTCAAGTGGGAAAGTGGTGGCACGGCAGGGCAGGGGTGCTGGCCTGACCCCGGGAAGAATCCCTTCTGGTGGGGCAGCCTGGTGGTGGGGGCTAGGGAAGGGCACAGAGGATTTTAAACAGTATCACAGACTTCAACTTTTCACTAAAAAAACAAAAACCTGATAAATCAGCAAAGAAGTTTTCCCACCTTTGAAACCAGGGATGTTTGGGGCCATATTTTAAACCTGTCCTTATATCCCCTGCCAATTATCTTTTCCCTTATAAATTGGGGGGCATTTCCGTTTTCCCTTAAACGGCCTTGCAACTTCACATGTCACCACTACTCTCTCTGTGGGCTGTATTTTAGAGGCTCAAGCTTTTCCCACTCCGCGTGGGAGGGCGAGGCTGCGGTGAGAGCTGACCACCGCCCAGCTCAGCCCCATGCGTGGAGATGCTCACGGAGATGGTGGGTAGAGGCCCCTACGGAGAGAGCAGCAGGCACAGCTCATTCTCCAGGGCTCTGCAGAGGGGGACAGAGGGCATGACGTCTCCTCTGGCAAATGCTGTAATCTGAAGAAGGAAAACATATTCTGAGGCCCTTCCTCTTCCCGAGCTGAGCACACAGGAGGAAGCTCTCCAGCGTGGGCCTTCCAGCCTGGAGTCCTGCTCTCTAGAAGGTGTCGGCACCGGCCAAGGCCACAGCAGCACGCGTGGCTGGCGTTTCTGTTTGCTTATTCCAGCCCTGCTTTGTCATTGTGTGGAAGTGGCTCTGGCTTCGGAAGCCAACCGAGCCCCCAGCCCCAGAGGTGAGACCCTTCTGTTAAGGTGACACTGCATGCAGCGAGTTAGGATCAAAAAGTAGCCCCTGAAGACTCTTGTTGGAACAAGAAAACTCTCCTGGGATTAAAACCCTGCCAGTGGAAATAACCAGAGAGAAAATGTACCCACGGCCTACCACATTACCAGCATGTTACCTCCAAAAGCAGTGCCTTTCCAGGTGCGGCCGGTCACCAGCTGGAAGGGCCGGGTGGCGATCTCCTCTCCGGAAGCTGCTACCCCGACCACCACACTGACGCCCCAGCCTTTGTGGCAGGCCTCCAGGGCCGCTCTCTGCAGGGACAGGCCATGGTGCATGCGTCAGTGCCCTCGCGGGGACATCGGCTCCCCAGAGACCCCGGTCACTGGCTGCCCTGGTGACAGTGTCACTGGCTTTCCGGGGAGAGACCAGGCCCGTGCTGGGGCCAAGGCAGACGTGGCATCGACCCCACCCTCAACCAGCGCAGCCTGGGGAGATGCTTTGTTCTCGCTGGGGCCAAACACAGCTGGCCCGGTGTGGGAGGAACCAGGTCCCGGCAGCTGGCAAACGTAGCACTGACGCCTCCAAGCCCCATACGCCCAAAGATTCGCTGTTTTTGACAGGAAATCCCAGCTCAAAATTCTAAAGACTTTAACAAAAGCAGCAAGTGGATAAATAAAAGCAACATTTTGCTTCTGGTCTGCTCTGTGTCAAGCAGGAGCTGTTACTACCAGCACCCTACAAGGAGGACTGAGGTTCAGAGGGCTGCAGTCACTGCCTGCCCAAGGCCACTGTGCCAGCCGCCCACGCTGCCTCTTCCTTTACAGAGGCACATTCTAAGGCTGACCATACCCTGAAAGGCAGAGGAACGCCTTTCTTCATTGTCCCCCCACCGTTCTTGTATCACTCCCCACTTGCGGATCAAGTATTTATTTTCCCCTCCTGTTAGAGTAATTCTCAGCAAGAGACTTTCTCTTTGCAAAACCAAAACAACTTTTCATCTAATTAAGGAAACTGCACTTAAAAAGGCAGCAGCACCTAATGAGGACCGGGCCCCCCTCGCTCACCATGACCTTCACATTCCCGATGCACTCGAAGGAGTAGTCCACACCCCCGTCGGTCATCTCCACCAGCACCTCCTGCATGGGCTTGCTGAAGTCCTGGGGGCTGATACATTCAGAAGCACCAAACTCCTTGGCCCTCGCGAACTTGTCTTTATTGATATCCACACCAATGATGCGGGACGCACCGGCCACCTTACAGCCCATGATGACCGCCAGCCCGACGCCTCCCAGACCAAAGACAGCACAGGTCGAGCCTGGTTCCACCTGATTAAAAGAGAGACCATAAAACGCTCTTCCCACAAGAGCCAGGGGGATCACTGGCTGCTTAAAGACCAGGCTTAAAGTTTTACGCTTCCAGCGAAGCTTGTGTGAGGGAGAAACACGCCGGCCACCCGCTCACCTTGGCGGTGTTCACAGCAGCACCATAGCCAGTCGAGATGCCACAGCCCAGAAGGCAGACTTTATCCAAGGGAGCTGAAGGGTCAATTTTAGCAACTGAGATATCAGCTACAACTGTGTATTCAGAAAACGTGCTGGTTCCCATGTAATGCAGGACTGTCTTGCCTTTGCAAGTAAATCTGCTGGTGCCATCTGGCATTAATCCTTTCCCTTGAGTCACTCTAAAGAACAAAGGAAAAAGGCAGAGTTGAACCAGATTTCCTCAAAACCACAAGAAAAAGAAACCAGCTTAAAAAACAATGTTAAACAGATGTGTGCTAAATGTGAAAGTCCAGTTTCTGATACGTCTAGTAATGATTTAGTATCTTTCAAGAATGCTCTTCTGGGAAAAGTTTCAAGAGATTTATAGTCTTCCCTACCCCAAAAGTAAGTAGCCTTCTGGATCCTACAGTCAGAGTATAGAAATCATTGTCACAGGTACGATTTATAGATCTGATGAAAAAAAATAATTTTATTTTTAAAGATTTTTTTTTTTATTTACACAAAAGCTGGGGTACAGGCCAGAGGTGCGGGAGGGTGAGAGGACCCACCAGAGGCAGAGTAGGGAGCAGAACAGGCAGACTGATGAAATACACTGCTGAGGGGAGCAGCGGGAGAGACAGGAGAGGTCTGCTGTGCCATGTGGGATTTTCGTCGGCCGGCCAGGATGAAACCTGCACTGTAGAGGCTGCGGACAGCTTCACAGTGCAGCACTCAACCCGCTGTGCCACCGGGGAGGCCCGAAAATTATTTTAAAACTCCATCATAAAACTGAGCAAGTATTATTTCATCAAGTGTAACACACATTCACTATCCACAGAAGGAGAGATTACAGTCAGTTATCCAGATTGGATGATGAAACCAGATGGCCAAACTGGCTAATTTAGATCTTCAAAAGGCCTTTCTGAGAAGTGACACAGTCCCAAGTTTTCAAGTTATCTTTTCTCTGTAATTGGTTTGTTTGCCCAGGGAGGGGAAGGCAACAGATATGAAAAATGTTAACCAAACTATGTTCAAGATTCTCGGGCCTCCCTGGTGGCGCAAGGTATGAAGCACTGCACTATGAAGTCATCCACAGCCTCTGCAGCACGAGTTCGATCCCCGGCTGGCCAGGGAGATACCCACATGGTGTGGCAGACCTCTCTTGTCTTGCCCGCTGCTCCCCGCAGCAGTGTATTTCGTCAGTCTGCCTCTTCTGTTCCCCACTCTGTCTCTGGTGAACCCTCTCGCCCCCTACGCCTCTGGCCTTTTGTATGCATAAATCCTCTCACCCCAGTTCTTGTATGCATAAATAAATCTTTAAAAAAAAAATTGTGAAGCATTCCATTTGAAAAAAAAAAAACTTACTGGGATCTAGCTTTGACAAAACTAATGGCATGTTACACAATAATTGGAATCTTTTTAAAATAATACAATGTATTTATTTTTGTGTAGAAGAGCTGGGGTGCAGGTCAGAGGTGCTGGGGGTAGGTGAGAGGACTCATGAGACAGAGTGGGGAGCAGAAGAGCTGGATCAACTGAAACACTGCTGAAGGGCACAGTGGGGAGACAGGAGAGGTCTGCTGCGCCCTGTGGGTCAGCACCCTGGCTGAATTTTTTTTTTTTTTGGTCAGTGGCGTTAGAAAACAAATGCAAAAACATCCTGTACACTGATGGTAGGAGTGAATCCTATACCTCAGAAATTCCATTCCTGGGCTTCCCTGGTGGCTCAGGGGTTAAAGTCTCAGCACTATGACGCTATCACCAGCCTCTGCAGCACGAGTTCAATTCCCGGCCAGGAAGCTGATCGACCCGGCAAAGCAGACCTCTCCTGTGTCCCTGCTGCTTCCCTCAGCAGTGTGTTTTAGTGGATCTGCCTGTTCTGCTTCCCACTCTGTCTCTGGTGGATCCTCTCACCCCTGCACCTCTGGCCTGCAACCCAGTTCTTGTATGCATAAATAAATAAATCTTTAAAAACAAAAAAAGAAATTCCATTCCTAGGAAAACACCAAGAAGGGGGAACTGTTCGCCACAAACAGGTAAGAGGGACACGGGGACTAATGTTCACAGCTTTGCTCACAACAGCCAGAACAAGGACAGCTTCAATGTCCAGAACAGGAGAGCGGGTGAGCAGCTATGTCTGGGATGGAGCATGACTGAAAGAAAAGGGAACTGAGGTGCAGAGGAGCCTGGACACATCTCACAGATGTTGTGAATGAGAGAAACCAAGCAAAAAGCAATCACATGCTTATACTTGCCTGAAGGCCTACAGTGAAGAAGTCAGAACAGTGGGTACTTGAGGGACATGGAGTTGGAGGAAATGAAGGACTTTGGGAGGTGCCGGAGTGCTCCCTATCTTGGTCTGGGTGGTGGTAGTACCCATTAGGTGTGTATATATTTTCTTAAATTTTTTTTTAAATAGAGGCATGTTTTATTTATTTATTTGTTTTGCTTTGTTTATACATGCACTGGGTACAGTCAGAAGCGCGGGAGGGTGAGAGGATTCCCCAGAGCCAGAGCAGGGAGCAGAACAGGCAGAAGGACCGAAGGACACTGCTGAGGGGAGCAGTGGGCGGCAGGAGAGGTCTGTGCACCATGTGGGACCCTCGCCTGGCAGCCGGGGACCGAACCGGCGCTGTGGAGGCTACGGGCAGCTTCGCAACCCAGCGCTCAATTGCTGAGCCACCGGGGAGGCCCTAGGTGTGTATATTTATAAAAATTCATTGATGTGTACATTGAAGATTTGCATACTCTATGTACATTCTTTTGTGAAATAAAAAATTAAAAAGAGGAACAATGATAAGTTTTTAAATCCCTCAAAGAATCAGTCCTTTAAGTGCTGTTAACCTCACGACAATGAAATAGCTCTCTCTTTTATTGTCTCTTCTATTCTTCCCAGTAACAGTAAGAGGTAGTTTTATTATTTCAATTTCAAAGGGCAATAAAATGGCTCAAAGTTAATTTAATTTCTTAAGTATGTCCTTCCCTGCTACATATATATATATATTTTTAAGATTTATTAATTTATTTATACAAGCACTGGGTACAGTCAGCGGCACAGGAGGGTGAGAGAATTCACCAGAGCCAGAGCGGGGAACAGAACAGGCAGACTGACAAAACACACTGCTGAGGGGAGCAGTGGGCGTGGCAGGAGAGGTCTGTGCACCATGTGGGACCCTCGCCAGTGGCTGGGGATCGAACTGGTGCTGCAGAGCCTGTGGGCAGCCTCGCAGCCCAGCGCTCAACAGCTGAGCCACCAGGGGAGGCCCACTGCTACATATTTTACAAATTCAGCCTAGTTTTATGGAAAGCGGACAGGTTCAGAAAATTCTGTATCTTTTTTTTAAATTTAAAAAAAAAATGTTTTTTTTAAACTCCTTTAGTTTTATTTATTTTTTAAAAGATTTATTTATTTATTTATACAAGCACTGGGTACAGTCAGAAGCGCGGGAGGGTGAGAGGATTCCCCAGAGCCAGAGCGGGGAGCAGAGCAGGCAGAAGGACCGAAGGACACTGCTGAGGGGAGCAGTGGGCGGTAGGAGAGGTCTGCGCGCCATGTGGGACCCTCCTCCAGTGGCCAGGGAGCAGCGGGGATCGAACCGGCACTGCCAAGGCTGCGGGCAGCTTCGCAACCCAGTGCTCAACCGCTGCGCCACTGGGGAAGCCCTAAAAAAATTTTTTTTTTTAGGATTTATTTTATTTATATAAGAACTCGGGTACAGGCCAGATGTGCGGAAGAGTGAGAGGATTCACCAGAGACAGAGTGGTGAACGGAACAGGTAGGATGACCGAAATGCACTGCTGAGGGGAGCAGTGGGGTAAGACAGGAGAGGTCTGTCACGCCATGTGTTGCTCCATGGCTGGCAGGGATCTAACTGGCACTGCAGAGGCTGTGGACAGCTTCACAGCGCTGGGGACAACTGCCTGCGCCACCAGGGAGGCCCAAATTCTGTATCTTTTAAAAACTGATGATACTGGACAAACTACTTAACTTCTGAGGTGTGATTTCCTCATCTATGAGAATGACATTTTAAATAATGGAAGTGAGGGTACTATCAAATAGAATAATTCATGTAAAATGCTTTGTATACACTGCCACACAATTACATATTATCATTGATAATATGACTTTTAACGTTAAAATAAATACTAAACCTTATTTTCTGGCAAAGGTTCGTTTTAGGATTTAGACAAAATTTGCATTCTCCGCACTGTGGGATGTAAAGTGGGATAACAGTATCACCTGGAAAACAAATGCAAAGACGTTATCCCAAGTAGACAGAACCTGTTTCTAAACAAACAAAATTCTCCAAAATTTCTATTCCCGTCAACCCACGCGCCTTTACAAAGTTAACTTCAAGGCTCAGAATTGCATGATGTCATTTGAACAATGCCTGACATTGCAAAAAATTTAAAACTTTAATTTTTAAAATAATTTTTAAATTTTTTTTACATCATTGTTCATTTTTAAACAATATTTGCTTCCCCCACCCCCAGGTGTAGTCCCCATAGAGTTTCCTTCACCAATGCACCTGTGCACCATCACCTCAGTCCCCTGTGCTCTTCCTTCCCTGCCTCTGATCCCTCTCCCTCCTCCTCCCCTGCAGGATGTCTCTGATTTATAATTGTCTGTTAAAAATTTAAAACTTTAAATGAAACTCCTAATAACTGGAGAATAGAGATCATATTTCACTTATCTGACTTACTGATGCATCTTTAAAATCTTGCTTAACTTGGCAAAAATGACTGTGGAAATGAATAACTGTCTTCACATCAGAGAGAAGGAAACGCTCAAATATTTGTGCTTTCCAGAGGACGAATTAATCAATCTTGGCAACTCACTTAGGTGATAACTTGTTCAAAGTTTGTCAGAAATATTATTTCCCAGTAGAAATAAGCCAAAATCATGTAAGTGGTTCAAATACTCTCTCACCTGCCTTCAGCTTAGTCACTCCTTCACCAACACTCTCCACAATGCCAGCACCTTCATGCCCCAAGATTACCGGAAAGCTTCCCTCCGGGTCAGCCCCACTCAGGGTATAGGCGTCGGTGTGGCAGACAGCTGTGGCGATGATCTGTCAGGAGTTTAAGTAAGAGCATGTGAGTCTGTGCAGGCAGCGCCTCTAGGCATTGTGGGAAAGGCACTTGTACTTGATACCGTATTTTATTGATTCTCTTTAAAATCTGCACTGCTTACAATCTATGACATCTAGTTAAGATTGGCAGCATTTTTTAAAGTGTCATATAAAAGTGATGGTACATTTATATGCCATGAACATGGTTCTTCTATGCTCCTTTGTTAGTGAATGTTAGCAAGAGAAGATGGAACATGAGTAGGAACAATTTGGCAATTATACTTAAATAAACAATTTAATAAAGAATAACTTAATACTTAATGTAGCAATTTCAACTTAAATAAGCCCTTTACCACCAAAAGCAGAGAAAAGAAAAAGTCTTAGGGTTTATATCTGTGCCTCTTACCTATCTAATTACATTGTGACATTTTTTGCTATTTCTGCAGCCCCGCTTCCATCCCCTGCCACCGGCGAGGTCCCACATGGCGTGCAGACCTCTCCTGCAGCTGGCTGCTCTCCTCAGCAGCGTATTTCGTCAGTCTGTTCCCCGCTCTGGCGAATTATCTCACCTTCCCGTGCTTCTGACTGTACCCAGTGCTTGTATAAATAAATACATAAATCTTAAAAAAAAAAAAAAATTTCTTTCTCAGGGCCACAATCAGGCTCATTTCTGAATTTTCTGAGTAACTTAAAGAAAAACATGCTTTTATTCGAAGATACCAGATTCCTCAGTCTGGGCTAGAAAGAACCTCAGAGCGTCATGTGGTACTGGGCTTCTCAGCCAGTGAGTGTGACCCCCGGGGGGGAGGAAAGGAGCTACCAGCTGTGCAGCTAGGGCAGAGTGGGGGTGCTGCCTCTAACAGCCCAGCAAAGACAGCTCATTTTTCCAGAATGTTAGTTTCTTTCAATGGTCAAGATCTGAAATTATTTTTTATATCAAAACAAGCACCGAGTGGAAAGCTGAAAACACCCACTGTCTGCCTTGGGTAATAGGCCCCTCTCCAGGGGCCACCTAGCTTCTCTGCTGCAGCAGAGGAGAAGGACCCCCGAGCCCAGCCTGTCTGCAGGGTCAGTTTACTTCAAAGCACACTAAGCAAGCTGGTGGCACTTGCTTACTGCTGCAGTCAACCAGGAACCTCTTCCTTTTAAAACAAGACTGAGGATTACTTCTTTTTCTCTTGTTTACACTGTGTCGGCAGACATTTTCAGTGGTGGAAGCAGTGGAGAAGCACCTGCAGCCACCTTACACCCAGGCCATGGAAGGTAACAACCTTGGTCCTTGGGAAAGGCTGATCAGCCTGACATCAGAGCCACTGAGATGTCAGTGCTGCAAAGAGAGGATAACGCGGGAGGAAGATGTTGGGGCTCCATGGCTGGATACCTTTCAGTTCCTTCTGGACACTGCCCATTGGGACTCATCCTCTGCAGACTTCGGAGGAGTCACACATCCTAGACCTCACTGTAAGCTTCCCTTTCCAGTGCCGCAGATGCATCATTACCTTGATTCGGACTTCATGAGCCTTTGGGGGTGCCACCTCCACCTCCTCTATGGAGAGAGGTTTTCCAGCCTCCCAAGCAACTGCAGCCTTGCACTTGATGACCTGAAGTGGGGAAGGAGAGCAAGCATCTATCATTGGGCACTAACAATAATATACTCATGAGATTACATACGGTTACATACTGATGAATGCTGCTCTTAGAAGATGGAAGATGTAGAACAGATTCACAAGGAACACATGCCTCTAAGTGATAGGGAGAACAGTTTAATGTTTTTAGATTTCACATTAATAATATTCATTAAAAAAGATTTAACTGAGATGTTGACTTGGTCAAATATAAAAGCCTCTTGTAACTAAGATATTTTAGTATGCTATTAATAATTAATTTTATTAATGATGCTCTTGATGCACAAGTACAAGCACATTAAGCATCCAGGTTCTAAAGAGATTCTGGTTCAGAAGGTCAGGTGTGGGTGCAAGGAGTCTGAATACTGCTTTCAGCAACACTGGCTTAGTGAAAAATGCAAGGTGGAAAGGTGTATAAAGAACATCAGGATGGGGGAGCTTTGAAAAATGACATCTAGCCCCTTTAACCCATGGTTCCAATACAGAAGCCACTTGTCATATGGACTATTGAGATTTTGGAAAATGGCCAGCCTGAACTGTGCAGTTCAAACTAAGCAAGTGCACAACGTACCCAGATTTCGAAAACTTAGAACAACAACAACGACAAAATTTCAACATTATTTTAAAAATACTGGTTACATGTTGTGATATTATTTTAAATATACTGGATTGAATTTTAATGCCATTTTACTGTGACCTTAAAATTGCTATAGCATCTCATTGCTCTAGAGAAGAACTCATTACCGAGGATCAAGCACAATGAGAAAGAGTTTCATCAATTCACTTAACGCTTATGAAATGTGTTAGCAGAATAAAGGCTGCAAGCCTCTGGGTTACAGGACAGACCTGAAAGTTAATAATTTTTGAAACGTGTGATTTAAAGAGGGGGACAAAGTGCAGCAGAATGCAAAAAAGTGGAGAAAGATGGCGATTGGTTGTTGGGGGTGGGAGCTTAACTTTCAAGTGGGAAGCAGCGCTGAGGAATGGCAGTGCGACAAGGGTGACGCGAGCCTGAAACCCGGATCCGGCACGCGGAGGGCGACAGCGCGGGTGCCCCACGCGGCAGGACAGAGTGGGGGGGGCGAGCTGACGGGAGGGAGGCGAGCGTAGGCCGAGAGCAGATCCGGGCATGCTCGGGCAGGACCCAGCGCCCAGACCCCGCCCGCGTGAGGGGCTGTTCCCCTCCGCGCGCCGTCCATCGCCTCCGACGCCCCAGGCCCGATTCCAAGCCTGGGCGCGGCCTGGTCGAGCGCCGAGCCCGGCCCCCGCGCCGGCGGCCCCGCCGCGGCCGCTCCGCCGCGCCAGCGCCCGGGGGCGTCGCGGGCGCCTCCGAGGACGCTCGCGGGGTGACGCCGGCTGGTCGGGCTGCTCGGCGCCTCCCCGCTCTTTCCACGCCCGCTTCGCGTCAGAGCCCTTCCGGGACCGCAGGCGTCGCGATCAGCCCCGCGGACGCCCCCGCGTCACGGGCGCGCCCGCCCTCGCGCCCCGCCGGCCCGCGCGCGGCCGCTCCCCGGGAACCGCGGGCGTCGGGCCTCCCGCCCCCCGCGCCGAGCTACCTGCGGCGCCATGTCCTCGGGCCCCGTCGCCGGACGGACATCCGGGGAAGTGGCGGCGCGGCGGAGGCGGGCGCGGGGAAGGACGGGCGGGCGGAGACCGGGCCCCGGGGCGCGGCCGGGGCGGGCCGGGGCGGGGCCGGGGCGGGGCCGGGGCGGGGCCGGGGCGGGGCCGGGGCGGGGGGGCGTGGCGTGCGGGGGCAAAGCCGGCGCGGGGGCGTGGCTGAGGGTGGGGGCGTGACTGGCGCGGAGCCGTGGCTGCGGGCGCTGAGCGGGGGCAGCGGGGCGTGGCTGTGTGCGGGGCGTGTCTGAGCGCGGGGGCGTGTCTACGGGCGGGGGCGTGTCCGGCGGGGCGGGGGCGTGTCCGGCGGGGCGGGGGCGTGTCCGGCGCGGGCGGGGGCGTGTCCGGCGCGGGCGGGGGCGTGTCTGGCGCGGCTGGGACGCGCGGCCGCGGGGCCCCTGAGGTGGCGGCGTCGCCCCGGCACGTGGCGTTTTCTCGCCCCGCCTGGTGGCCGCTGCGCGTCGGCCCCGGGACTCGTGCAGAGCGGTTGCCGCGACCGCGCCCCGAGCTTTCCCGCGCCGGCAGCGTGTGGAGAGGGGCGGGTCTCCGCGGCGCGGAGGACGCCCGTGAGGGAACGAGACTGGACGCGAAGCGGGGCCGCCTCCCCGCGCCCCAGCGCCCCCGAGGGTGAGTGGGGTTCTGGGCGCCCGCAGAGCCCGGGAGGGCCCTGGGGAGGAGAGAGCGCGCGGGCGGGAGGGTGGAGGCCGCCGGGCCCTCGTCGCCGCGGGCTGTGGACGGTGGCTTGACGGAAACGCGCCCGGAGCCTGCCCTGGGGGGCCCCTGCCCTGGGGGGCCCGTCTCCACGCGCCTCGGGTTGTTCCCCGCTCCCCTCCCGCCGTGGTCACGCCAAGCGCCCGTCTCCGCGCGGGTCCGTCGAGGTTACCTCAAGCGCAGCTTGCCCAGCCGCTCCCCGTCCGCCTCGGCCTTGCCTTGCCGCACTGTCCCCCTGTCTGTGGGGTGCGCGGCCCCGGCTTCTGCCGCCCCCTTGCCCCGCACTGGGGAGTCCCGAGGCGGAAAGCCCGCGCGTGCGTGTCCGCTCCGGGCGGCGTCTCACCGCGCCCTGAGGCGGCGTCGGGCCTGGTCGGGCCTGGTCGCCAGGCCTGCCCATCCCTCGCGCTCTGACCTCGCGCCTTTCGCGATGCTTCCAGCACGTAATGACAACGCGCCATCTCATTTCCCCCTTAATAATTTGCAGGAATGCGGGCTAGGAATGAATGGATGAATGAATGGCGTTCTTTTATTTTAAAACCTCCAAGGGCTGAGAGAGGCATCAAATCCAAACCGGGTAGCGGTTGGATTTACCTGGATAACCTGGTTGGATAACCTGGTTCTGCTTCTCTCTCCACCCCTACTTGCTCCCGTTCACCACACACGTCTCATTCTAGTCCACTAAAGCTTTTGGAGTCTTACAAGGCCCTCTGGTTCAAAGAACATAATAACAGAGAATGGATTTCTTTAAAAAAAATATGTATATGACACCTTCTAGTAATAGTTGTAAATATTTGCACATCTCTTACATTGCTGAAGAGAGCAAATTGATATTCTTGGAATTTCTTAATATGTTATCAAATCAGGCTTTTGGAAAAGCTTGTGGTGCAGAATTATGTTTCTTGCTTCTTAGCTGCAACACTGGACACCTTTTCATCTCTCTCTTTTTTTTTTTTTTAAACAGATTTATGCATACAAGAACTGGGGTATAGGCCAAAGGTGTGGAGGGTGAGAGGATTCACCAGAGACAGAGTGGGGAACACAACAGGCAGGTTGACTGAAATCCACTGCTGAGGGGAGCAGCGGGCGAGTCAGGAGAGGTCTGCTGCGCCATGTGGGTCTCTTCCCTGGCCAGGGATCAAACTGCTGCCATGGCTGCAGATAGCTTCATAGGTTGTGTCTTAACCCCTTGCGCCACCAGGGAGGCCTCACCTTTTCATCTCTTTCTCAGATTTCTTTGCTTATTAATAAAGACTTTCATTGTTACTGTGCAGTTCTGAAATTAATGCATTATAAGCAGGATTATAGGGCAGAATTTTATTTGCAGAAATGGAGCGTGAGGTAAAATATTAATCACAATAAAGAGGATACAATTTCCCTTGTAGATTATTATGTGCTTATTTACTGCTAATTTCCTTGTAAGATGACCTTGAAGTTTCAGAGAAGGAAAGTGCCCATTCCTGTCTACAGAAGTGGAGCGTGGGGGCGTGGCAGCTTGCGGGGTAGGGGTGCCCCGGCACTGTACTGACACACATCTGAAGAGCACATCACCCCCACTGCTGCAGGAGGGAAGCCAAACTCCACTTTATTTTTTTTAAAGATTTAATCATAAACACAAGAATTGGGGTGCAGGCTAGAGGTGGGGGTGTGTGAAAGGATTCACCAGAGACAAAGTGGGGAACAGAACAGGCAGACTGAGTGAAATACACTGCTGAGGGGAGCAGCAAGTGAGACAGGAGAGGTCTGCTGCGCCATGTGGTTGCTCCCTGGCTGGGGTTCGAACTCGTGCTGCGGTGGCTGTGGACAGCTTCATAGGTTGCCTCTCTTGCGCCACCAGGGAGGCCCCCAAACTCCACTTTGACCAGAGGAAGAAACTGGTCTCCAAAGTTGTTGGGCCCAGGACTGGTTGGCCACCCATCAGGAGTCTTTTCAAAAGTGATTTATTTAGGCCTCCCTGGTGGTGCAAGGGGTTAAGCACTGCCCTATGAAGCAATTCCGCAGCCTCTGTAGCACGAGTTCGATCCCCGGCCGGTCAGGGAGCAACCCACATGATGCAGCAGACCTCTCCTGTCTCACCCGCCGCTCCCCTTAGCAGAGTATTTCAGTCAATCTGCCTGTTCTGCTCCCCGCTCTGTCTCTGGTGGATCCTCTCACCCCCTGCATCTCTGGCCAGTACCCCAGCTCTTGTATGCATAAATAAATCTTTTTTAAAAAAGTCATTTATTTGTTGAATTTAGAGTTAGAATTTTGTTTAAAACCATATGAAAGATGCCATCCATTCCTCTTTTAGCCCGGTCTTCTCACCATCGTCCACTGATGGACTTTAGGCTCCTTGTGTCCTGGCCTCGTAAATACTACCCAGTGGACAATACAGAACGGGTGATCTTGCCCCGGCGGCTGCTGGCTTTTGAATACACCCCAGGAGTGGCACTGTGGGGTCCTATGGCGGTTCCATTTCTGGCTCTTTATGGTGACTCTGGTTTGTTTGCTGCCAGCAGTGTCTCAGGCTCGTCCTCCCTGCGGCCTCGCCAGCACCGTTTCTTAATCAGGCTGTCTTGCCCCCATGGGGTCACGTTCTCCCCTCAGTTCTTTTCCTCTGGATTCAGGACCTGGGGAACGGGGACCGCCAGAGGGTGCTGTGGTAGCGTTTACTAAATAAGTGTCTGAGCTACCTTTTTCTTAGAATATGCTGTGATTCCACTGTCTTCTGAATTCAAGTCTTGTGACTCCTATGCATTGCTGCAGACAGGACAGCTGATGATGTTCTCTGCCATTAACAAAGACTTGGAGTCTAAATGAATTTGCAACGGGGGGAGGCTGGGGAGAGCCATCAAGAGCAGCTCTGCCTCTCACTCTCCCAGCCCAGGCTTTTATTAAAGATAGGAACCAAGGAACGAGAGAATGACATGCAATTGTGTTAATGCTTATACAGATTATGAAGTCACTGCTGGAACAAGTTTTTCTAATTAGTAAGGAACAGTTGCACAAGCCAGCACCTCCTCAGAGAATAGGAGTCAACTCTGGGAGGAAGTTCTGTTTGCAGAACTTCTAAGATTCTGGAACTCTGTGTGCAGAGTGAACAGGTATTCTCCGAAGACTGGCTCTCCTTAGGGTGATGGGCTGCCAGCAATGCATGGATATTCTTAAAGATTTATATTTATTAAATTTTTTAAAATTAGTTAAAAACAGACTATATCTTATTGTGTTGCAGAATCCAAACCTTTAAATATCTTTTGCCTTTGGAGGAATCAGGTTCTATTTCAGTTTTATTTGTTTATTTTTTAAAGATTTATTTATTTATACAAGAGCTGGGGTACAGGCCAGAGGCGCGGGAGGGTGAGAGAATTCACCAGAGACAGAGCAGGGAGCAGAACAGGCCGACAGACTGAAGACACTGCAGAGGGGAGCAGTGGGCGAGGCAGGAGAGGTCTGCCATGCCATGTGGGGTTCTCCCTGGCTGGCCAGGAATCGAACCTGTGCTGCAAAGTCTGTGGACAGCTTCACAGCGTGGCACTCAACCTGCTGCGCCACTGGGGAGGCCCTCCAGTTTTATTTCTATGGCTTGACCACATACAAGTATTTGTGTTGCCCCCTGTATTTAAAAAAGTATTATTTTATTTTTGAAAAGATTTATTTATGCATACAAAAACCTCTGGTGCAAGCCAGAAGTGCGGGGATGAGAGGACTCACCAGGGACAAGAGTGGGGAGCAGAACAGGTGCATCCACTGAAACACACGGCTGAGGGGAGCAGCAGGGAGACAGGAGAGGTCTGTGCGCCATGTGGGTCAGCTCCCTCCTGTGGGTCAGCTCCCTGGCCGGGGATTGCACTCAGGCTGCAGTGGTTGGCCATAGCTTCATAGTGCTGAGACTTAACCCCTGCACTACCAGGGAGGCCCTCAAAAAGTATTATTTTAATTGCAAACTTAAAAAATGAAGACTGAATGTGATAGCTCTCGGGAAAAGCAGATTAACTGTCAGTAGTTTGCAGATCTTTAAAATGTCTTTAAAATACAGTTTTTAAATGGACGGTTTCTTTATATTGCCAAATGCATCATTCGTGGTTTCTGTTGTTGCTGGTTTATCATATAAAGGCCCAGCATTCATTTCTCATTTTGAGAGAGCTGTTTGGGTCATGTATCAGGTGAACATTTTGAAGAATTATGGTGTAATTACCTTTAGTAAGAATTTCAGTTGGGTGCCTGGATGAAAAAACAGCTTCTGCTACCAAAGAAATGATGAAGGTTAAGATGTGAATCCCATACAGAGCACTCTGGGTTTTCCGATTTTATAAATAATTCCACAGTC